TCAAAGATTAATGAATTTATTTCTCCTTTTTGAGGTTAAATATTTTGAGGTTTAATATTTATTCATAATATTTACTAAATATTTTGAGGTTAAAAAATGGCAAATTTTGGGTAGTTAAAAAAAATATCCCAAAAGTTGTTTAAAAATCAATCATTACTTTTTGCTTCTAATTCTTTGAAATTTTCATCTGTCAGGTACAAAAAGCTGTTTACACTAGGAATACATTGTTTTTAGGAGGGAAACAATTATAAAAATCATGGGTTCAGAACCATATTTAGACATGACCATATTTAGACAGTTACTGTTTAGAATTTGTTATTGCTGTTCAACTATTATTTTTACTTTTTATTTTATATTTTGTTTTTTTAGATTTTAGTCAGAATTCTGTTTGAATGTTTAGCTCTATATACCAAAACTGTGGCATTGAATTTTAAAAATGAAAAATATAAAGGTATATTCACTTTAACATTATCATCACATATGCCTGCAAGGTCTTTAGCTATAAGGTTATGTTATTCTTATAATTTAGGTTATCCTTATCATACTGCTATATTATATGGTTTACAAATCTTACAGCCTATTGTGCATCATGTAAGTCTTGTTAAATTTTTGTGTGTGTTTTATATAAAACTTTAAGACGAGTAAACTAGTAAATATTTGAAATCAGCTCACAATAAACTTTTTACTTCTTTCAACCTAAAAAAATCCAAGTTCAGTATGATATATAATATATAATTCATTCAATCAAATGAAAAAAGAAGTCTCTAAATCCAGTCAATCAAGTCTTTTTGTGCAAATATTTTCTATATTTCTATAAATTTTTTTTAATACAAAACAATCTTTTCAGCCAATTCTTAAATAGCTTCTATCAATAAGAGTTTACATGACATGATGGACTTTCACTATTCATTTTAATTATCTTATTTCTTTTTTATAGCAATTTGAAATTGTATTACTTACCAAGGACTTTTTGATATTTTTTGTATAATAATATTTTTGCTAAGTTTTATTTAATTTCTAAGGAATTTTTACTACCTACAGTGCTGGCCAGAATTGAGCTTCTGCTAAAATTAAAAAAAAAAAGAAAGAAAATTGAGTTAAAATGTCAATATATTCAATTTATTAAGCAAATTTGTATTTAAAACAACTGATAATACAATAGCACACTATATAAAATGTCAATATATTCAATTTATTAAGCAAATTTGTATTTTAAACAACTGATAATACAATAGCACACTATATCCATTTGGTACGTTCACCACCAGCTTTTTATAGATCATATATACGTTTTGGCATGGTGTCATCAAGTTTCCTCAAATAGTCATTTTCCATTTCTTCCCAGGTTTTCTGCACAATTTTAAGAAGAGCTATCTTATTAGATGGTCTTACATTTCTTAACTTTTTTTTGTTGTCATTCAAACATGTCTCAATAAAGAACATATCAATAGATTGTTTAGGCCATGGAAACCTTGGGAAATTTTGCTGAGAAGTTTGAAGAATCAATCATAGTTATTTTTAATATAGAGAGATTTGTTGCTTTGATATGTCCAATACACTGATTAAGTTGACCAGCGCCCTGCTAGGAAATGCATCCCCAAACCATAATTGAACTTCTATCATGCTTTGCAGTAGGCTGTAAGCATGAATCTAAATATTTTTTATCAACTTTTCTGTAAGTATTAGTGCGATACTTTAAGGAGAAGAGATCAAAAGAACTCTCATCACTAAGTAATACAGAATTCCATCTATCAGCTGACCATTTTCTAAAACGTTTTGCCCTTGCAAATCAAACTCAATGATTTTTTGACGACAGAAGTGGTTTTTACCAGCAATACATCCTCTAAATCCATATTTTAACAAGATGTGTTGTACTGTCCTAGCACTACATCAGGCTTTCACAGGAAGACGTGCGATTTCACGTCTTTATATGACCACGCAAGTTACATTTTGCTATGACGGTTTGACCGCGGCTAATTCAAAAAACATTTTAGAAATGCGCTAAATAAAAAATATTCTAAAAAAGTGAAATTAATTACATCAAAACTTCTTAACAAATGTTTTTATATTAGCGAAACGATTTTAAATAAAGTAACAATTTACTGAAAAAAAGTTTTGTTTTTTAAATATAATTGACAGTTGTATGAATTTTTTTAATTTAAAACATATAAATTGTTTAAGTGTTCATTTCTAAAAAAAATCTTATTAAAAAATAAAAAATTGTTTTGTTTTTATAAACGATGACATTCTACGAAAGACTACGAAAGTCTCTTTAACGAATTTAAATATAAGAATGATTAAAGTTAATGCATTTAAAAAGATAAACAAAATTTCGTCAAAAAAAAAAAGTTTTAGAAAACCGTTACAATTTAATAAGTTTGATCTTAAATGCTTTTATATTATCGAAACGCTTTTAATGAAGTAAAAAAAAAACACTTCTAATTAATTTAAAAAAAAGTATTAATAAAATATTTTTTTATTTATATAACTATGTATTTTTTACGAGAAATATTCATCTTTTGAACATATTAAATAAATCAAAAATATATAAAAATGTTGAAACTAAGATTGAAAAGGTTTTTTAATGCGTAAATTAAATAGACTAAGCATTTCAGTTTAATGAGTTTTGTTTTAGTTGCGTTATATATATATATATATATATATATATATATATATATATATATATATATATATATATATATATATATATATATATATATATATATATATATATATATATGTATGTATATTTATTTTTTTGTGTTTTTGCTTTAACTAAGTATTTTTTTTATTTTCTCTTTTGTTAATATATTATTTTTTTTAATTTTTTTTCAGATAAGTTTAAGTAAGTCTTTGTAGCGCATTTTTAAATTAAAAAAATATGCTGTGGTCAAATCGTTAAAACATTTTTTTTGGCGTGGTCATATAAAGACGTGAAATCGCACGTCTTCCTGTGAAAGCCTGCTACATGTAACTTTGTCACATGCTAGTTATGCAAGTTGAGAAGTCAGTCTTCTTTTGCTAAGTGATTTTCTCACCAGAGGCCTCTCATCTCTTGCTTTTGTTTTTTTGGACTGTCTTGGCTAATTCTCTAAGATATGCCATTAGTCTCTTTCCACTTTTTTAAAATATCAGTCACAGTGTTTCTGGCTTCTTTAAGATCTACTGAAATTTTTCTCATACTATAGCTTTTATTAAACTTGAAAACAATGTGCATTTTCTCATCATGAGATAAGTTGCTACCTATCTTTTGTGCTATTTGATGTACAATAATGATTCCAAATTGTGTGGAATTAACTTTTTTTGTAATATAAGTAAAGCCCATATATACAAATATATATACAAATATTATGTTGTTTATTTATTTACCAAACAACATATAATATAACAGTTGAGTTTTATCGCCACAATTACTAAATCTTCAACTTTTCACGGGTGGCTCATTTAGTTTTGGCCAGCACTGTATGTTTACAAACAACAGCTAAACATTTTCTCTTGCTGCCAACCTCCAACCATTATTGCATCGTTGTAATGTTGCTTCTCTTTCTCTTTTTTACAAATACTATAATGGGCATTGCTCTAAAGAGCTAATGTCTCTTGTGCCATCTACTAAAATTCATTCTCAAGTTGCTCGTCATTTAATTAAGTCTCATCCTTTTTTTGTGACTGTTTAAATGCTCCAAAAACTCTTATTCCTCTAGTTTTTTTCCTCGAACATCAGTTCTTTAGAATTCGCTTCTTTCATCTCGATTTCCTGATGTATATAATTTGCAATCTTTTAAGTTGTCTGTCAGTTGTTATCTTGCTTTATAATTTTAATCTTTTCTTTTGCAGCCTTGTTGGAAGCGAAGATGTTAAAAATATATATATTTTGCAACTATTTATTGAATTTATAAATATATAAATGTGTTTTAATTATTTAAACAATATGCAATTATTTAATAAATTTATAGATATATTGTAATTATTTAAAAAATATGCATAAAATGAAACATGAGTATGCATAAAATTTAGATATTTTATAATTTTTAAAAAGCCAGTTTGCAGAAAAGATATAGAATACCCAAAATAAGCGAATGAATTTAGATTGAAGTTCAAAATAATGTTCATGTTTAACAGTTATTTGCAAAATATTAAGATGAAAATTTGTTGCAATTTTACCTGCATTGTTTATATAAATTTAGTAACCAATTTTTATTGTTTTTAATACAGCTTTATTTAATTTTTTATTAATAGTTTTATTTAATTAGGAAACTTCTGTTGCTCATTTTCTTGGCACTCACGATGAGTTTATCATATTTCTTTTTACGGTTTTGGAGCAAAAGTCAACATTTGAGTATATTGTTTTTTTTATTTTGTTATGTGTGTTAACTATAATGCTATTTTCTAATTTGTAATTTTCTTTAAGTTTTTTTTATATATATTTACTGATTAACAAAATGAAGCTTTATAAAAAATTGACTATGGGTATTAGGTAAGGACATTGAACAGTTTATGAAATTGCTTAAAGTTTTGTTTTGAACAAATCTTTATTTTCATAGTGCTCTCTGGCATTTATAGGACATTTCCTGACATTCTTTGACAATTATTTTTTCTCAGAGTACTTTCTCATCTAAAATTAAGTGATTAAGATTATGAGATTTTTGCAGCAAGATTAAATTAACTTAATTTGTTTACATGAAAATTTATTCAAAAAAATGAATTTAATTAATTGAGAAAAAAAGAAAAAAATCAGAAATACTGTTGCTTGTTGAACCTTTTCTTTTTTTATTAGTAAGATCATAGTTTATTTGCTTCCGTAAACGATTTCAATTGATTTTACTAACTACATTTGTAAGTAAAGTAAGTTGTTACTAACAACATTTGTAAGTAAAGTAAGTTGTTACTAACAAAATTTGTAAGTAAAATAAATTGTTACTAACAACATTTGTAAGTAAAGTAAATTGTTAGTTAAGTCAAATGTAAATGTTATAATATTTGTGCTCCACAACCATACCATGATGGTTTTGGAAGAATTTCAGGGTGGACAATTTTGAATAAAGGTCTTTGTGTCATGGATGTTGATAAATAACAATAAATGATTTTCTAGTATTTTTTAAATTGTATTAAATTGTTTGTAATTTTTTTAAAAGATATGATATATAAAGTGTAGACTGTACAATATAATTAAAAATAACTAAATCAAATCACTTACCATACCCCTGGAAGAAAATATGGAAACACAGTAAATAAAAATTCCAATAGAAATACGAGAATATAATTAGAACAATTCAAGTAAGTATGCAACAACTGCATGTGCAAATAGCTTAATGGCACTCTTTTCACTCCATTCCATAGTAAAGCCTCACTATGGTGTCCAGTTTTTATGTAATTGACTAAGTTTGAGTCTCTATTTTTTAATAAGATTTTTTATAATAAGAGTTTTTATCTTCTTTTTTTTTAAGGATTTAAGATCTGCTCAACCTGTGTTTTATATAATAATATGATTAGATTAGAAGATTAGCTTTCAAAAATTGTTTCTAGAGGTTACAGAACCTTAAACATTTGATGGGGCTTGATATTGTTAAAAAAAAAATTATATTTAAGAGTGTTATAAAAGTCTTAAAAAGTAGTTATATAAATTATAATTAATAGTTATGAGTTTTACAAATTTCTAAAAATAAAAATTGGTTTCATTAAAAAGTTCTTTGTGTTGAAAAAATTGTCAAATTTTTTTTTCTGTTGCTTTTTTTTTTCTTTTCCTGTTCTTTACATAGTCTTAAGTTTTCTTCTTTTTCAACCTAAATTAGATATGTTAGTAAATAATGAGTATATTAAACATAAAATTGTCAAACTTCTGTAACAATAACATGCGGTTTTTTTAAAGTCTAGTCATTTATCAAACCGCATAAAAAATTTTTATCTTTGGATAAAGATCTAATCTTAATCTTGATCTTTGATTAAAGATCTAATCTTTAGACTTGAAATTACGACTATAAAAAAAAAAGTTTAACTGTTATCAAAATAGTGTACTTGGGTGGGCATGAATGTGAATTTTTGTTCATAAAATTTATTTCTTTAAGAAACAATTTATCTCCTATTATTTGCTAACATAGTTAATTAATCATCATCATCAATTAATCTCAAACATCATCATTTAATCTATTACATTGTGTAATAAATTAAATGACCACACAAATACTACTTGATTTTGAAACACAGCTATTAATATATTTTGAAAGTTTGTATACATTTTAAAAATGTGCTGAATAAATTTTTTACTAATCTTAATTTAACTATGAAGAAACTTAAAAAAAAAACTTTTCGTAAAAGAAGAAAATAAGTTTTTGTAAAAAAAAATATAGAAAAATAAAGTTAAAATAACTAAAACTAAAATAAAAAAATAAAACTAAAGTTTAACTAAAATAAATAATAAACTATAAAGATAAGATTATCTAAATTACGTTTGGAATAAATAACTTTAAACCGTTTATCTTTACAAATGTTTTTATAACATAATATTGTGAAGCCTTTTTTAAATAAAGCAAAAACTTATATCTAACAATTGTTTAATAAATACACACATTTGATAGTTAAAAAAAAGATTCTTAACAATTCTTTACTTACAAAAACTTATATAAGTATAAAAAACTATATACAATATTCAATATTTTTATAAATAATCATTAGCAGTGATTTGTTACTTTATTTAAATGCATTTCAATAATATAAAAAATTAAGTAAAGATCAAAGTTATTTAATTCAAAGGGCTTTTAAAAAACTTTGCCTTTTTTTTCTTCTCAACAAAATTTTTCATCTTTTCAAGTGAATTAACTTTAATGATTTTTATATTATTAAAGAGAACATTGCTGTTTAAAGTTGTTGCTTATAAAATTAATTTTTTTTATAATTTTTTTTTTTTAATTATAAAAAAATTTTATATAATTAAATAGTAGTAATAAAAATTTATACAACTTTCAATGATACTTTAATTAAAATCATTAGCTGATTTTAATTAAAGTATCATTGAAATTTATTATTAATTTTATTATCTAATATAAAAATAAAGACAAACGTGTTTATTTATTTTCAATATTTTTTATTTATTTTCAAGTACCAGAAAAAATCTGCGCGTGTTCTGATGTGGTGTTTGCAGAAACCATGCATCATTTTAAATAGCTAGTTGTTTTAAAATTTCATTGTATTAGTGTTATTTAAAATTTAAACAACTCTGTTATCAAAGCAATTAGTTTTAATTAAAATGTCATCAAATCAAGATAAAAAGCGAGAAAAAATTTTGAATTTTCTCGTTGAAAATCCTAGTGTATTAAACAAAAAAATTTCTAAAGAGTTGCAGATTGCTTTGAGAACAGTGCAGAGTGTTGTAAAACGATTTAAGGAAACTGGTACAATCAAAAGGAAATCAGGAAGTGGAAGAAAAAAATATTTTGTTAGACAAGATTTTGGTAAAAAAGTGAAAGATGCCTTAGACAGAAAACCGGAGATTTCTGTTTTTACTTTAGCGAACAAATTCAAGACAAGTGCTTCCACAATAAAAAGAATGAAGAGAAATTGTGGCTATAAATTTTATAAAAAGAAAAAATTCCTTTTTCATGAAAAGAAGCAAGAAAATGTGGCAATTTGTTGTTCAAAGCTGCTCTATAAAAAGTTATATGCCCAAAAATCTTGTTTGATTTTTGACAAATAATCTTATTGTGCTGCATATTTCCAATCTCTTCCAGGACACCAATATTATTCAGCAATTACTTGCAAGAAACTGAATTCCAATTATAAATGGATTGGAATGCAAAAATTTGCTAAAAAAATTCTTAGTTTGGCAAGCAATTTGTGAATGTGGTGAAAGAAGCTTTTGTTTTGTGACTAGGGGAACAATTAACACAAAAATATGCATAAAAGAATGCCTCAAGAAATGTCTTCTGCCATTTTTAAGAAGACACACAAGTAATCCATTATTTTGGCCTAATTTAGCATTATGTCACTACTCTGGGATAACTTTATACTGGTTTAGAAGACATAAAGTAGATTTCATTGAAAAACACTGCAACCCACCAAATTGTCCTAAACTATATCCTATCGAAAGATATTGGGCTCTTGTCAAAAGAAAACTAAGGTTCAATGTAAAAGAAGCCAAAAACATTAAAGACTTCAAAATTAAATGGATTAGAGCTACCAAAAAAGTCTAGCCAAAAACTGTGGAAAAGCTGATGTCGAGTGTAAAACGCAAAGTGCGTGCGTTCTCACCTACAAAACTTCATAAATTTTCTTAAGTGAAATTCAAGAATAATAATATTAAATTGAAATTATAGAATAATAATACTTTTAAAATATGTATAACATTCAATATCGAAATATAATACTTAAATAAAATGTCTTCGCAGATTTTTTCTGGTATCAGTTGCTTTTTTGTCCACTCAAAATTTTTTTTTTTTTTCTTTGTTCAAATTTTATCTTAGTAATAGTTCTTCATTACTAAACTTTATAAATACAAAAACAATTTATTGGTTAAAAATTGACAAATTTATATTCCATTTTTAAATTAATAATTTTATATAAAATCAAGTAATTTAATGTTGAAATTTTTTTTTAAATATTAAAACAATTTGTATTAAATTTAAAAAAAATTTAAACTGAATTCATAATACTATAACAATTAGTTACATAAAAAACATAAAGAAAAAAAAAGTG